GATCCCTCCTCAGTTGCTCTTCCTGAGGTTTCTACCGTTTTTTTTCCCCGTTAAAGGGTTTTTTGGGGAGTTTTTCCTGATCAGCTGTGAGGGTCATAAGGACAGAGGGATGTCGTATGCTGTAAAGCCCTGTGAGGCAAATTGTGATTTGTGATATTGGGCTTTATAAATAAAATTGATTGAATTGATACACAGTACTGCACTGTAAGGACAGGAACAGCCGTGCTGGTAATGATCTTGAGATGCCTGATGAGCGACAGGCTGTAAACTCCAGTAAATAGTCTGTACCAGGATGTTTGGGTTGGCGCGAGTTGTGAGCTGTAACTCAGCAGTAAATAATCAGCTGTGTGTGTCTGACTGTGGATGGTGGAGCTGCTGAATGGATTTGTGGAGTTTGTTAGTTGCAGCGGGGGTTGTTAGCAGCTAGCTCCACTCACAGCCAGCGGCCACCGGACTTCACAGCTTCACCCCACAGGACTCCACTCAGTCCAGACTGGAGAAGGTTTCTGGGTTGATGGTGTTTGACAGGCAGGTGAATGTTTGTTTGTGTTCTTGAGATATTGTGGAGGCAAGATCCAGACCTGATCCTGGAACAGGTTTGAACTGGTCATAAACCAACAGCCTCGGGATCAGACCGCAGCTCAGACGTCTCTCTGACCATCAGCTGACGGCAGGTCGCCTCCTGAGTTTGGAAAACTGTTGACACACATGGTTTCTTTCACATGCTCTGAGCTATGTACCGAACTCTGTTTGTGTTTCATCTTTATGTTGGAAGAAACAATATTTAAATATCGTCAGAGTTCAGACTGACAGGTAAACACAGGAGGAGGATATAAAAGAGACGGACACCGTTCTCACTCACACGGAGGAGGAACGAGGAAACACGACATCACAGGTGAGTTCTGGTTTTTCTGTTAACTGATAACAGAATACGACCATCACCAAACGAATCTGTACCAGACGAGTCTGTGCCAGATGACTCTGACAGAGGACTCTGTACCAGATGAGTCTGTACCAGAGGAGTGTGTACCAGACTGTGGGCTGATTGGGTTTGGTTTAATTATAAAATGCAACATATCAAACTTTGTCACTGTTAAGTGTGAAAGTCTTGGACTATTGTCTGTCCCTGGTGATCATGTGTTCATCAGCCTGAATCAGGATGGAGACAGAGAGCGTTCGTCATGGCAAATATCAGAAAACACTGAAAACTAAAATGTCAGATGATTTAATCAGTAGGAAAATTCACTGGATGATGACGAGGCTAAATGTGCTGACAGATAAATAAATCAAGGGATAACTGAAGTACAACACAGGATGTGATGTCAGAGTGGGAGATGGTCCTAAAATGCAGCAGAGTTAATCATCGTTTCACTTTCAGCCATGTTTGTTTGTTGTTGCCGTGGGCAACAGTATGACATCAATATGTCAGCAAGTCCAAACATTGCAAATATTGTTCACATCATTACCTCTGGACATTTTTGTCCATTTCCAAAATTCAAAACTCCCTCACAGACAAATTAAAAGGTCACAGGGGGGTGATTTGGTGTCAGCAACAATAACAAATGGCTAAATGACAGGTGGACATTTTGAAGGGTCATGGATAGGATAAATATGCATTACAGGTTCAAATAATGGATTTTCATGCTGAAAGTTGGGATTTTCAAATTTAACCCAAAATTACCCCCCCTTGACAAAAATCACCCCCCTGTGACTTTTTGTTGGACACTACAAAAGTTTCTAGAAAATGGACATTTTTGTCCACTTGAAGGGTCATGGATGTAACTTTTTTGAAGGGGAACACAAGGGTTTTAAAATGATACAGATATTATGGAGATGATATGCCACGCCCCTGATGTGATGTCATGCTGAGAACACGTGTGTCTGTACGAGAGGGAAGATGGATAAACAACTGATGTCACTGATGTTTGAGTGAATAATGACGCCGCCTCAAAAAGACTCCCGTTAACAAAACATTTCACACCTTCATCTTCTAAATATGAAATGATGATAAGTTGTGATTCATGATTTCACCCTGACATATGTTACCGTACTCAGTGAGCCATGCGTCCTGCGGCGGCAGCAGCCGTCACTCTGCTCCTGGTTCTGGTTCACGTTCAGGAAGCAGAGACCAAAACCTGACACGTTAAAGTCACTGGTTCCCCACAGATGATGTCACAGGGCGGATTTGTCACAACTGTCAAACACGTTATCCAGCACACGCGTGTGGTGATGGATGGTTCCAGATCGACGTTTACTGCTGTGCTAAATACTTCTGGACTCCGAGAACGTTTAGAGACGCAGATGTGATGATACACATACACACACACACACACACATCAGAATACACACACTGGGTGCAGACCCCTGACTGAGCACTGACTGTGTTCACGTCTCTGCTGGTTCCAGAATAACTGCCGCCGTCTGAGAGGTCACCTGGTGTCCATGCACAACTCTGTGGAGTACAGCCAGGTGCTGTGTTTGGCCTTCAGAGCAAACACACACAAAGACCATTTCTGGATCGGTGGGCGGAGCAAATATCTGGTGAGGAACAGATGGATGGATGGATGATGGATGGATGATGGATGGATGGATGATGGATGGATGATGGATGGATGGATGGATGGATGGATGATATTAAAATCAATGAGGAAACACGCTGCAGTGAATTCAGACTAAAGATTAAATGAAGTAAACATAAAAATACAACCAGACATTATTCTGAACAGTTTAATGTTTTCATGGAGGGAACGAATCTAATTAATTTAAATTAATCACGACTGTGATTGGTTTAAAGAAACAAAAACAAGCCAGAATTTTTTTCTGCTGTAACAGAGAGACAATCAGACGTTTCTCTGGCTCGGACATGGTGCTGTGCAGACAGGTCTGATGACATGTGACGATGTGTGGAGGAGGTCTAACTGTTGGTTGTCTCTCTTCAGTGGCACAGCTTTCAGTGGACTGACAACACGCCGTTTCACTTTGCGAGGTGGGGCTTTATGCAGCTGGACATGGTGTCAGGAGAGGAGTGTGTGGAGATGAACTACAAACGTAAGTACCACAGGGTGGACTGGTGGGCGGAGTCATACAACCACAGGGTGGACTGGTGGGCGGGGTCATACAACCACTGGGTGGACTGGTGGGTGGGGTGCAGCCTGTTCTCATTTCAAAGTCGTCAAAAATGCTGTCGCTGCTTTGTCAGTGATTACAGCGTCACACACCGACACCAAAGGTTACCTGTCACACTGGTATGACACGCCTCCAGCTGGCCAGGCAGCACCTGTCACAGCAGTCTGATACACGGACAGCACATGTTTTGACGTAGTGGGCGGCAGTAGCTCAGTCCATAGGGACTTGGGTTGGGAACCGGAGGGTCGCCTGTTCGAGTCCCCAATCCGGTCCAAATATGGAGTGTGGACTGGTGGCTGGAGAGTTGCCAGTTCACCTCCTGGGCACTGCTGAGGTGCCCTTGAGCAAGGCACCGAACCCCCCAACTGCTGGGGGCGTGTGTGTGATGACAACGGTGTGAAAAAACTGAATTTCCCTTCAGGGGGATTAATAAAGTAAATAAAATTAAATTAAAAAATTAAGTCCATTGTCGGAGCGCAGATATGTGACCACTTGGGATGAGAACGTGTCAGAGTTTGATGATGTCACTGTGGACTCTGTAAAGTCGTGATGAACATCTTCACTGGTCTCTGTCGTCATTATAATCACACCATGTCTGTCAGTTACAGGAAGTCAGTGAAAGCAGCTCTTGCTGATGTTGTGGACGCCATGTTTTGTGTGTCTGTGTCTTTCAGAGTGGGGACTCTGGAACAACGCCGTCTGCTCAGGAAGGAAGTACTACGTGTGTGCCAGGAGGTCCTGATCATCACCTTCATCACAGGATGTTTGTTCACCTGAGCAGCAGGTGGATCAGTGTGTGTCAGTCACAATGTTCTCGCCTCTGTCTGTGACATCACTGTGACATCGCTGTAAGAAGTGAAGAAAAAGAATGATATGATTCATTAAAGGAAACACTTTAGAAGATTATTTGGAAATAAAGTGGAACTTACAGGCCGTCAGTCAAAGTCGTTTCTATATTAAATTATTTCTACATTGTTTGACACTTTGTGTTTTAAATCACGATTCATCTGTCAGTGTGGTCATGTGATCGAAGGTTTCAGACCTTACGAGGTTTTTTATAAGTTACAGACTTTCAATAATCTGTGTGTTTAATGTTCAGGTGACAGAAATATCATCATCTGTCTGTGTGCACACAGAGGAGACGCTGCACATATTAGTGAGGAGACAGTTTTACTTACTTCACCAAGTTCACGTACTGACGTGTGACTCATTCAGGACCGCTGGAATCTGCAGGATTCAAAAATGACTCGGTCCAGTCTGGTTCCTTTTTGACTCCAGGTGGGACTCAAGTGAGTCTGGAGGGACCACTACAACATGTGAATCACATGACTGAGGCAGCCGAAGACACTGAGTAGCCTCACTCGCTCAGCTGTACTGTGAGATGGAAATCAGCGATGACGCTCTAATTAATAATCAATAAAACTCTACAGCACAGAGAAAACAAGGTGAGTACGTATATTCTGCATACTCAAGACGAAGATGAAAACTCAAGACCCACATAAACAGGTGTTTTTAACGAGACGAACCAGGTATCTTTAATCCCAACATGTTTTCCTGACCCTGACAGATTTAATTTTGAACCACACATCAACCGCAGCGCTGTCACCAAAACATTTAGACATTAACTTTCAACATACTCACGACATATGTGCAGTAAGATATCAGTGCTTTGCAGAAACGTACGATTCCAACATTTATTCTCGTGACTGGATTTAACAAATCAGAACTTTATCAGATCTACACTATAAGAAATGTTGATACATCCGTTTCTGTTTAATTAATTAGAGTTTTTATTCAGTTTTATTAAATGTTTGGCAGAAAAAACAAAACTTCACCAACTCAGTTCAGAAATATCTGAAAAAAAAAGGAGGTTCATTTCAAACATTATTTTCAGTCATCAGACTGTTAAGTAAAAACTCTCAGACCTGCTGCTGATCTGTGAAACAAGAACAACACCTCGCTCAGTGACACAGTTCAGTCATGTGACCCTCGTCTGGCTCGTCGTAGCGTCGCTCCAGCCTCCTGTAGACCAGCGACTCTGGTAGAAAATGACGGCTGTGTATTTAAATTATCCAACAACATCCGACCCGCTGTGGTTCAGGACTAAAACTTCCTGTGTGCAAATCAGGTTTCAAGTTTAGCACCTGACCTGATCCAGGTACGTTATCTTCACGGCAGGTGAGTGCTGTGGGCGTGGCCATGCTCACATTTTAAATTTAATGTTAAAGCTTTGACTCCATCACCAACATGTACCTTTAAAATCTTATTAAACATGACAAACAAAACATACGTTTATCACACGTTCATTTTATTTAAATATAAAAGCAACAAACAAATTAATTGTTTGTCACTGTTCAGTGAAATGCTTTAAAATTTTACACACAATTCTATCAGCACTTTAAATATGTATAAATATATTAAATATAAGTATCAGGGACTTGAACAAGATTACTTGAATATGATGCCACTGAAACATGCCATAGTTTTTATTTATGACCACTCATTTACTTTTTTTTAAATTTCATTTTTGTTTGATATAGTTGTAGGTTTTTGTACCAATGTAGAAACACACCGTTTATAATTATGGACAGCACTTTAAATATGTATAAATATATATTTATACATATTTAAAGTGCTGATAGAATTGTGTTTGGACCCAGTTAAATTGATATATGTCAGTAAATAAAAATATCTGATGTGAACATTATTAAGAGCTGAGACACACAAACCAAACGTGTTGTTTCACAGTAAATTAACCGTAAACCTCAAATATAAATAACTGTGATGGTTTAAAAAATAGATCACACCGAAATAAAACAATGACAGTGTCCAGTGATGTATCGTGCTGATGTGAAAGGACGACTGTTTTCGTCAGTGTCTGACGCCAGAAGTCACCGACCAATCAGACTCTGTTTTAATCTCTGTGTTCGATCAGTCCGTCTCTGTTCTGGGTGTCTCTGCAGTGTTAACTGGTGTCATCAGCGTCACAGCAGAAACTTTCTCCTCCATTCAATCAGACTGCCAACTTCAAACCAACTTCACTGCAGTCTGTCCAACATCCACCTCTCTTGTTCCTCATTTTACTTCAAACTGTCAGCCGTCCAATGAAAGACAGTGAAGCCCAGAACGCCACAGTAACATGTGAACGTTAGTGTCACACGCTGTGAGACAAACAGACCCAGCAGCTCAGGGTTTATTGTTTGACAGGTGAACGTACCTGACAGGTGAACGTACCTGACAGGTGAATGTACCTGACAGGTGAACGTACCTGACAGGAGAATGTACCTGACAGGTGAACGTACCTGACAGGTGAACGTACCTGACAGGTGAATGTACCTGACAGGTGAACGTACCTGACAGGTGAATGTACCTGACAGGTGAACGTACCTGACAGGTGAACGTACCTGACAGGTGAACGTACCTGACAGGTGAACGTACCTGACAGGTGAACGTACCTGACAGGTGAACGTACCTGACAGGTGAACGTACCTGACAGGTGAACGTACCTGACAGGTGAATGTACCTGACAGGTGAACGTACCTGACAGGTGAATGTACCTGACAGGTGAACGTACCTGACAGGTGAATGTACCTGACAGGTGAACGTACCTGACAGGAGAATGTACCTGACAGGTGAACGTACCTGACAGGTGAACGTACCTGACAGGTGAACGTACCTGACAGGTGAACGTACCTGACAGGTGAACGTACCTGACAGGTGAATGTACCTGACAGGTGAACGTACCTGAGCACACAGGTGCAGAGTCCACGATGAGGCCAGCAGGTAGATCCAGACAGGATTCAGCTGCAGCTTCAGCAACAGAGGCTCAGAGCAGGAACACCTGCCCTGCGTTCCAAATCGCATACTTCTACTATATACTTTTAGTATGTACTGCAGCTGCCCTTAAAAAGTATGTAGTGTAGTATGCAGTATGCATACTATTGGGACACACTACATCCGCCATCACATCGCTCCCTGAACTCCGACCCTCTTGCTCACTTTTGCCGCCATCCGTAGCGCCACATTTGAATATTTTGTGTTGTTGTACTTCGGAGATGCAGCAAGTCTCCTCTCGTCGAGCTCGCCAGAGTCGTGCATACTGTCGGAGGTGCCGGAGAGCTCTGTTGCTGTTATGTCGTCATGTATGTTGTTGTTTCTAATAAACAGTCCCAAGCCTATTATTAGTGACCTGTCTATTGAACTAGTCACCAGTAGGCACATTAACCCCTTCACACACAGCTCTCTGTTGCTGGCAGATGTGTGTTGTTAAATATATTTACAGCTGTGCAGCTGCTGGCACTATATTCTGTCTGCACGTGAAGCAGCCTTACATTCACATTACTTTTATTTGTAGTGTAACATACCTGCACATTCTTACTACATTACTTAATATGTGTTTGACTTTTACTATTTATATATTTACTAGTCTATACTGCTCATACCTGGCCCATAGTGTATTCATATTTAGTCATATTCATTCATTATTTATACCACACTTACACCACTGCCTGTACTGGTAGAATCTTCTATACTGTAGTCATAGTTGAACCCTAACATTGATTATACTGTAATCACAGTAAAGTTGAATGTTGTAACCGTGTTCTTGCAAAACTGTATGATATGTGACAGTATATAATCAGATCATTGCAGTCCTAATATGTAGTGTCTTAGTATCTCAAATTAAATAAACCATGTATGAAAGGAAGTGTGGGCGTTGGTTGTACACGCAGCTCAGTCAGTGTGACGTAACTTCCGCTGTGCAAAGGATTGTGGGTCAGAATGGCCAAAGAAGCATGCTGACATGCATACTGCAAAATGTGACCGGATGTAGTAGAACATCCTGGTACTTTAGGCATACTGCATCTGACATACTATGTATTGGGACACACTAATTCTTTTTCTGGCGTACTAAATAGTATGGTAGTATGGGTATTGGAACGCAGGGTAGGTGATTACTGATGGACGAGGTGCTGATGAGGGGAAGTGGAAGCAGGTGAACAGGTGAGCAGGTGGGCGTGGCAGGTCAGGTGACTGCAGGGCAGGAGACAGTCTGAGGACATCTGGTGGACAGGTAGAGGATGGCAGTGGGGAGGCCTGAGGATGGAGGGACACAGGGTTCATCCCAACATCCCTCCTCGACTCCTGGAAATCAGTTGGCATCCATCTTGTCGAGGAGTTGAGGAGAGAGGAGGCTCTCAGCAGGGAGGGAAGCGAGGACACACATGGAATTCTTTTACCGACCGACACACCCCCTGATTGGATATCAGTTATTGATTGGACAGCTGATCGGACGGATCTGATGCATCAGTTTCACACAGAGTGAAGACACATAAGAGATTAAAGTCACGTGTGATTTATCATGACCTCATGTGAGGAGAGGAGCTAGCTGCTAGGCTCAATTATGCAATGTAAATTAGCATATGCTTATGCTAATAATGTTAGCATGTTGTATTTGTGGAGGAAACATCTTTAATATTAGAAAATTAATTTGTCTGTGAATGTTGTGAGTCATGAGACTGATGTGTGTTCGAAATGGTCTCTGTTGTTGTTTTACGTTTTAATGACCTCACACACTGCTGCGTAGAGTCTTCACCATTTATTATTGATTATATTTCTATTAATAATCTGAGTCTGTGAAGGAACTGAAGAACACCAAACCAACAAACTGGTAAACAGTGTGTGTGTGTGTGTGTGTGTGTGTGTGTTGCTTCATCAAAGGTCAGTTTGGAGGTCGGTGAACTTTACAGGAAACCCTGCACCGATCGACACACACCAACTTGTTCTGATGTCTGCACCCCACCGTCACCTGACCCCGCACTGCCACACACACAGAGGTTTACCTTATATGGACATCCGGACATCCTGTTTGTCCCCACAACATGACACAACATGACCACAGAGGGTCGGACAGTTGGAGAGGGGACGGCTGCTCAGACAGAAGTTAGAGGGAACGAGTGAGGACGTCTTGACGTGTTTCAGCTGCAGCAGGATGGAGGTCCTGACGGTTCTGAGGGTTCTGCTGCTCCTGGTTCTGGTCCTGGGTTCTGTGCAGCGCTCTGGTCAGTCCCTGTTTTATCATCTGTGTGTCTGTTGGTGTCTAACTGCTGAACTGATTTCAGATTGTTCTGTCCGTCCAACTCTGAGGTCAGTTTTAGTCTCTGACTCTTTCTTTGTGATAAATACAGAATGTGATGCAGCTTCAGTGTGTGTGTGTGTGTGTGTGTGTGTGTGTGTGTGTGTGTGTGTGACAACACGCAACATCTGAAATACTTTATATTCATATTAAAATAACAAACAGTGTGAACAGTTGTTGACGAAGGTCACGAGGACGAACCAGCAGTGAAAGTTTCCATTAAGAAGATAACGAAACAAACTGACTCACGTTTTCTGGAAATTTGCCTGAAAATTGTGAAACTTTAATAAACATGAACAAACTTTACCCTCTGTTGAAATTCTGGGAACACACACACACACACACATTCTTGTACCTCTATCCTTATGAGGACCCTCATTAACATACAGTGTTCCCCAGCCCCTAACCCCGAGGGACTGCTCGTTACTTATTGGGGGGGGACAGATTTACAGATACAGATACAGATTTAAATAGTTGTATTTTGTATTTATTTTTTAAAGAAAACTACCAAAAATACACCCTCAGGTTTGGAAGGTAGGTTTTCTTTTAACCTCTCTAACTCTGCCAGGACGCCGACGTCCTCGCTCCCCCCCTCCTCTGTTAAATGGTATCTCCCAGGTGCACTACATCATCAAACCATGTGATGTTTGGTATTGTCGGATTCAGGAAGCTCTCGACTTTTAAAAAATAACATCGTTTTTCTTTTATTTATTATGTATTTGGCACCAGAGCAGCCTAAACACACAAAGTCCAAAATCGCGATGAGTGGTGACAAGTCATGTCATGCCGTTTTTCGACGGGAAAAGTTAAAGGATTACTCGCGATCTTATGTGGAGCTGTTAGCGGGGACTTAGCTGGTTTATAAAAGGTAAGAGTCTCACTCCTACCACTATTTTTGGCTGAGATATACCGTCTAGAAAGTGGGATCATAACTTTCACGTTTCATATGGCTTTATTTGGTGATATTTTATGGTGTTTCTGTGTCATAAACAACATCAGCTATCATAATCACACCTGATTTCAATAAGGTACAATGTTTGAAGCTGGCTGAGTGTTGTTTGATCACTGATAGGACTGTTTTGAAGCAGAGTGACCCACTTGTCATTTGGAGCTCCGCCTGGATCTTTTCATGGTAAAAACACTGTAGAATGGTCATACTTTGAGCAGTCTTCTTCAAATCTGAAACAAGTGTTCATTGATAGTGCAGAGACTGTAACCTGACCCTAAAGACAGGCCGATGAAGAAGTGACGAGCGACCACAATGTCCTCACTCTGTTGTTAAAATACGTTTGGTGGTCCTCACTACACACACACACACACACACACACACACGACTGTGGAAGTGAAATTTCATTTATCATCATTGATCATGTCCTGATGTGTGTGTGTGTGTGCGTGTGTGTGTGTGTGTGTGCAGGGTGTGTGCGGTGTTTTGCACGGTTTGACGGTGTCCAGGGTCGATGTGATGAAGAGCTCGGTGAGGTGGATGAAGACAACTGCTGTCAGAACCCTCAGTATGGTTACCAGGCAACAGACGGAGTGTGTCGGTCCTGTGGGTCAGTGCACACACACACACACACACACACGCACACACACACACACACACACACACACACAGTCTGTCCTGGTCATCAGACCAGTGAAACCAGTATGTGTCTGTCCTCAGTCCTCCGGTGTGGTCTCCCTGGTCGCCGTGGTCACAGTGTAACGTCCAGTGTGGGGAGGGAGTGACGCAGAGGAGCAGAACATGTTACGGTATCGGCCAATCAGAGTGTGAGAACCCTACGAACAAACTGGAGACAAAACCCTGTAACAACACCTGCTGCGACGGTACACACACACACACACACACACACACACACACACATTAATCACTTATTGATCACTGTCACTGTGCATGTGGCAAATCTGTGTGTGTGTGTGTGTGTGTGTGTGTGTGTGTGTGTGTGTGCAGGTAGGGGGTGGGGCCCGTGGCTCACCTGGTTGCCCTGCTCAGTGACCTGTGGAGGGGGCGGAGTCAGGAAGAGAGCCAGAGTCTGCTTCAGTCCTCCTGAGTGTCGTGCGACCTGCAGCGGTCCTTCAGAGGAGACAGAGAAATGTCCAACACAAACCACCTGTCCAGGTAACCTGTCTGCCCCACCCAGTGGTGCCCACAAGGGGGAAATTGAGATGCTGTCTCTGAATGTCCAGAACAGATGCAGGAGGTCTTCTAGAAGGTCACATGTTGATGAGACCGGCGACTGATGGAGCATCGGAATTTACTGAGTTGGGAGTGAGAACATTTTGTCTCTGTGTCTCTCAGTTCATGGTGGTTGGTCCGGTTGGTCCGATTGGATTCAGTGTTCTGGTTCATGTATCAGTGGCCAAGGTGCTGATGTCATCATTCCCTCCAGAGTGCGATATCGTTCTTGTTCGAGCCCCTCCCCTTCCAACGACACAGTGCCACTCGGCAACGATTGCCCCGGAGACGAGTTCCAATCACAGGACTGCAGCGAACTCCCCAACTGTCCAGGTGAGAGAACAAACTGATCAGGTAACAGAGGTGAAGTCTGGAAATGAAAACCTCACGTGCTCTGATTGGCTGTCTCTGCAGTGGACGGCAGCTGGGGGGCGTGGTCTCCACCCGGGCCATGTTCCGTCTCCTGTGGGGAGGGGCTTCGACTATCAATCAGGAAGTGTGATAAGCCTGCCCCTCAATACGGGGGTCGAGTCTGTGACGGGCCGAGCACTCGGAGCAGCGTCTGTCAGAGTTCCTGTCCCGGTAACACCAACGATATCAAGATAAAGATCAATAAACATTAACAGAATTTAAAACGTTACAGTAAAAATCTCTGTGTCTGTCTGTCTGTGTCTGTGTGTGTCTGTCTGTGTGTCTGTCTGTCTGTCTGTGTGTCTCTCTGTGTCTGTGTATCTCTGTCACCATGACAGTCGACGGGTTCTGGTCCGGTTGGTCCAGTTGGAGTGAGTGTTCTTCTTCCTGTATCCCACAAGGACAAGCTCCCACTAGATCTCGCCACCGCTCCTGTTCCAACCCCGCCCCCTCAACCAGCCCACCTGGCAAAGGTTGCCGTGGTTACATCAGCGATACAGAGAACTGCAGCCACCTGCCTCACTGCCCAGGTACATCTGTCTGTGTGTCTCTCTGTTTTTAAATCATTAACAGTACCGCCCACCACCCGGACAGGAACTAACATAATGGGACATCAGACTCTCAGGTGTCCTCACAGAGACGATAAATATCTCCGTCTTCCTGTCTGTCTCTGTATCAGTGAATGGAGGTTGGGGGTCTTGGTCCTCCTTCTCTTCCTGTCCTGTCACCTGTGGAGTGGGGCTTCAGGTGTCCGTCAGGAGATGCGACAGCCCAGCCCCAAAACACGGCGGCCAGTCATGTCCTGGAGAGGGACGTCGTACAAGCATCTGTAAGACCAACGTCCACTGTCCAGGTACCCCAAGATTCTAGTCTCTTATTGCAGCGGCTGACTCTGTCCGCCAGTCTGGACTAAAAACAAATATGACTCCTCAACTTGGAGTGTAACTGCTGTGTATTTGCAGTGGACGGGACATGGTCAGAATGGTCGGAATGGAAACCATGTAAATTCCCGTTTGGTGGGCGAGACATCCGCTGTAAGAAGATCGGTGGCAGTCAGACTCGAGAGCGTGAATGTCTTCATCGAGCTCACAATGGATCCATTTGCAGCGAGGGCTCCCTGACCGAGAGGCGGGTCTGCTATGATGTCACCAGATGTTCCCGTGGGTGACACACACACACATACACACACACACACACACACACTAAATTGATAACTTTTTTAATACGGTTAATCCAGGTATCAACCATCACCTCATCCCAACGTCTGATGAGGACACCCTTCATGTCTCTCTAAAGATGAGATGGGATGGATTATCTTTATCAATCAGTTTCAACAACAGCCAATGACATGTTTGTGTGTGCTGCAGCAAAGGGCAACTGGGATGGCTGGGAGCCATGGAATCTGTGTAATCCTCCCTGTGGATCAAGCTCCAGACGCTTCAGGAAGAGACGCTGTACACCTGATTACAGCGACTACAGGTGAGTTTAGTGTTGAAGCAGCAGAGGTGGTGTGGATCAAAACAGAGGTGAATCAACGATGACATACACGAAGAGTTGAAAACATCAGATCTGTGTGGAGCGATGAGGACACTGTAACCTTCCTCACATTAATACATGAACACTGACAGAAATATGTACCTGTGTGTTTTCAGTCCTACCATTGGTCGTCTGAAGGAGCCAGCAATATTCTTTGGGAATCCACTTGCCGACTGTGGCTCACCACCTGAGGGTGGACAGAAGGTTGAAATGCAGCCCTGTGTCAACGTTCCCGCCTGCACCTGAACACCTGCTCACCAACGACTTTAACTACACCAACATATCCTGTTCTTCACTTAGTTTAATGACATATATCTCTCACCAATTAGTTTACCAACATCAACATATCAGCTCATCAGTGAGTTTAACAACACAAATATATCCATCTCATTGATGAGTTGAACATCACCAACATATCTAACTCATCGATGACAAACACTGTAGTTAATACCACTTATCACTTATTTACGTACATTACTTGAGTAAATGTACTCTCCACCACTGTTAAAATGTCTAGCTTTGAACTGACAGGTGTTCCTAATATTTTGTCCACCCAACTGAAACCAGTGAGGACAGACAATCATTTAGAAACACCCAACAGATGACTCGCCGCTGAATTAAACAACATCACTCATCACTTAAAGTTTTGTTAATAAAGAAAACAGTCTGCAGCTGTTTACAGTCACGTTCTTGCTGTCAGAGTTGGAGCGTGCTCAGTTGATTGTCACCATAGAAACCCCAACAAACAAACAACAGCTTCAATCTTCAGTTCCAGTTTGTTCTTCTGTCACTGAACGGTTCATCCGTCTGAAGATCTCAGATAGAAATATGTTGTACTGCTTTGTTCTCTTAAAGCTGTGTTTTTAGTTTCAGTGTACATTTATACTATGCTGGATTTTTGTTACATTAATCTCAGTTTATTATATTTCATGTTTTATATTCTTATATTTTTTCATGTACATTTTTAAATTTTCTTTGCATTTTATAAAAGTTTGTGTGTATCTTAATTGAGTCTCCCCTTAATCTGTGGAGGTCCATCAGGCTCCAGAGGTGTTTGCTTGGAGCAGTTTGGGTCAGTTAATCTCTAAAACTCTGAAAATCAAACAGTTTAATCACTTATACTTTATGTTTGTGTGCATGACAGGTTGATGCACACGCTCCAGGTGACATTTTCCACCTTTATATAGTGTTTTGTCCTTTGTTTAGGGACAGATCAGGATGTCCCCTGTCATTCTGTCTCTGACTCAAAGTTATTAGATCAACTTGAGGCTTCATTGTCTGATTTCATCTTCATTGATCAGGTTGAGTCAAACTTTAGTTGTAGAGCACATTTAAAAACCACCACAGCTGACCAAAGTGCCGTGTCAACTTCAGCCTGTTACATGCATTGTCTGTTTTCAAAATACACTTCTGTTTTCACAGGAAATGTACAGTTTGATACAGTCTCTTTCAAAATAAAAGCACTACGTCGGTACAACACCACCAGCTGTTTTTTCCTTCAACACACACACACGTGGTTACGTTTAGCCAACACACACACGTGGTTACGTTTAGCCAACACACACACACGTGGTTACGTTTAGCCGACACACACACACACGTGGTTACGTTTAGCCGACACACACACGTGGTTACATTAAGCCAACACGGGACGGGAAGCACAGCACCACACTGCCTCCTGCTGGTGACATTAACATGCGGCTGCATTGGTGGGGGGGGGCTTGCCCAGATGCCATAATAAACCTTTACAGATCATGCTCAAGTGTTTTTCTCACAGAAATTATTTGTTCAAAGTAAAAACATAAATAAACTGTTTTGTATACACTATAAAACATAAGTTCACAGAAAATGTGACCATACATTTTGTGTGCATCACATTTACAATCTTACAGGAAGTGAACACCGGCCTCCTGCGTGAAAGTCTGTGGTTGTTGGACCCATCCACCAACACTCCCACCCCCCTACTCGGGCTTTTGCCGCCTTAATTTTGCTGTTGTCGCACCATGTTTCCTCCTGACACTGCTGGGTACTGTTAAACAATAATGGCAACCGACTATGTATGATACCAACATGAAAGGATGGCTTTTTTTCATCGATGTCTGATGCCGGAAGTCACTAAGTGCCAGATTTCCATAACTTTGGAGTGAGAGCGGGTCAAATAATCTGACCTTATGGAACAAGTTTGTTTTGATCTCACTCCCTCTGGACTTTAGCTCATCGTTTACTCAACTCACTGACGCTTCTCTCCTCGTGCACAATTGACAATCAGAGTGAATTCATTTGCCAATTGACTCTAAAGTCTCAGTTGCCGATTCAACATGTTGAATTGGCAACGGTATGGGACACATCGCACTGACAAGGCAACAGATGCTAACTAACCTCTCAACATTGATGGCGGCCGACTGTTGGCTTGGTGAGTCAAAGCCTTTAGAGTTTAGGGACTGTCATCTCAAAGACTCGAGCGCCATTGTTTTTAGGCCTGTTTCTGGAAACATCCGGGAGAGAGAGCCTCACTGCAGAGGAAGCTCCTTTCAGCTGCTTGTATCTGTGCTCTCATTCTTTTAGTCACTACCCAGAGCTCATGACCACAGGTGAGGGTTGGGACGGAGATGGACCAGGAAATAGAAAGCTTCACGTTATGGCTCAGCTCCCTCTGCTCAACAACGGTCCAGTACAGCGTGATGATCCATCTCACGCTCCATTTTAGCCTTACTCATGAACAAGACCCTGAGATACCTGAACTCCTTTTCCTGAGGCATTAACGGCAGATTAACCCATCGGCACCATGGGCGGGACTCATGCTGTTTTTAAGCTACTGTCAAGCGATGCGCTGAAACCAACGTGGACCAACAACACTGGCGAACAAGATGAGACAGATCGATGCTGCTATGGAGGCTGTTGTAAGTGGACGTCTTCGTAATATCACCCAACAGTTTGGAGTGAAATAGTTTGTTTTATGCTGCTTCTTAAAACCACAGCTAAACAGGTACGATGATGATTTTATACATAATATTCATGATTATGATTTTTGTCAGTAATTCTATTAACTTTTATTATATATCACTGAATTATTTGACTTTATGATCTATGGATACACTGCTGCTTGTTTTCTAAACAGTGTCTTGTCAGGTGTCCTTTACCACTCTGAAAGGTGCCTATAAGTACAATGCATCATCATCATTATTATTATTATTATTATTATTATTATTATTATTGTTGTTGTTGTTGTTGTTATTAGTAGTAGTGACAGTAGTAGTATTTATGTTGGTATGACCACACATCTGGGTCGCGCACCAGCGAGGGGCAGAACAGCTGTTTAAAAGCTTGTGTCATGTCAGTTTGTTGGCAGCAGATGATGCACTACCTCCAAAAATAAGGAGATTCAAACTGACTGAAACCTGCTGGAGGAGAAACAGAAGGCTCTGGAGCAAAGGCTAACCTCAGAGCATTGATCCTGTCCATAATAACTTTACAAAGATTTCACAGTGTAAACATGTAGCAGCTCACTCCTGCGCACACAGAGCAAACACATGATCCCCTCCAGGCTGACAGCTGGCACAGATGATGATGACCCAGCCCTACATATCAAACATATCAAACTCAGGTCTGTGTGTTCTGGTCCACAGGCTGTTGGTTTAGTGCCGGGTCAAACCCGCTTCCTTCTTTTAACCAAACACAGAAAACACAACAGCCAGCAGCAGCAGTCTGAATCAAACCGTCACAGGTGAACACAGGAGGCAGCACACAGGGGGAGGGGGAGGATGCTCGACCTCCCGACCCTTCACTCCGTGATGTTCAAAGTCAAAGTGTATATTACTGAAATCCAGTTATTCAAATAAACACAAGAAGTTTGTGCTCTAGAGAAAGGATCAGCACTCAGTGAATAACCTCCTTAGCTCTATGATAAGCTATTATGGCAAGGCTTAACTACACAGACCAGTGAGCAGTGATAGGCTCCATACATGCGAGCTCCAGGTAGAGACAGTGCTAATACTACCTTAGATACTACCTTACATAGACGTTATTCTACAGGACTGTTTTGAATTTAATCTTTGACCTGTCATAAAACCCTTCCTTCATATCCCTTCCTGCTCATGATCGGACGAAGCTTTATGTCATTTTACTGCACAATTTCTGAGAAATATCAAAGTAACGTCCTTTAAATCACATTATAACACATTTAGGATTTCATAGTATTAAAATTTTCATTTAAAAAAAAGTAAAAAATACTTAGTAGATTAAATAAAAAATTCAGAGGATTCCTCTTCAGGATGTTCAACGTATTCTCACTGCAACCTCGTCCACATATGACGTCCAAGGTACCCTGGGTGTGTTGGTTAGGTTTAGCAGACAAACACACGTGGTTGGGTTTAGGAAAAAAGAACAGGGTTTGGTTTCTTACAGGAAGTGAACACCGGCCTCCTGGGTGAAAGTCCATGGTTGTTGGACCCATCCATCCCACTCAGATTTTAATCAAGTTATGTTTCTGCTTCTTAACAGTCACATGGATAAGTCAGAGTTTACAATGAACCTGGGGACAAATCCTAGTTGGCTCACATTAGTTATTTGTTGAGAGCATAAATAGAGAGATGTTGAGCTTTTCACATGATGATCAGTAAGTGTGTGCTCGTAAATCAGCCCTTAAACCTGTCACACACTGCTGGAGACATGACACACACATTATTTTATACAACCTGTCACCTTGAGTCTGATTTATGATCCATGAGTTAACCTCACTGGATCAGTTTAAAGATAAAAACATACAGAAACATCAGGACTAAAACATTTAGATATTTCGTTGCTAAAGCTAATAAACAGAATGTTTGCTGATCGTGTGGACGGGAAGTTGACGACACAGAGTCAGAGGCTGAGCCGTGTTGTTGTTGTTTCTGAGTTCAGTTTTGGAGTCAGTGAGAGCGTGAGAACCAGATTATGTCTGGAGGCTCTAACAGGTTTGACTCGGTGATAAACCAACAGCCTCCAGACCAGAACACACAGCTGATGTGTTAAAGTAACCACAACTGTTTACACTGGTTGTTCACCTGCTCTCAGCTATGTACCCAACATCACCCAGCACCACCTTGCTGATCGAGCTGGGCTCCTCTGACTGATGTGTCTGTAGAGGAATATTTTAACATGACAAAGACACGTAATCAGAGGATGATTCTGGACAATAAAAGTGAGACGAACAGGTCGATTGTCACACAGACAGATGAAGAACATCTGAGGTAAGTTCATTCCATGATGATCTGATGAAATAAAGAAGAACATCTGTCTGTTGTAACAGAGGAGACCTTTCTGACATGTTCCAGGTTATACTCCAGTTTGTGGATCCACTGAGACAGTCATGCGTTCTGCTGTGGTGTCGGCTGTCATTCTGCTCCTGGTTCTGGTTCACATCCAGGACTGTAAGACCGACGCACACAGATCAGGAACGTACACCTGTGAGACACTGTAAGGTATTAAACCTCTCATATTTTCACAGCTCTCTCCAATTCGGTTCGAACCATGTGCCTGCAGAAATATTCACCCAGACCCTGTGGTGGCGGATGGATCCGGGTGACCGGCAACAAGTGTGTGAAGTACTTCAGGCTGTCCAAAACCTTCTGGGAGGCCCAGGTGACGACGCCGACACGACATGTAAACTCATCCTGTTCAGTCATGCTGAAGACTCACTCTTCTCCACGTCTGTTGATTTCAGAGTCACTGCGCCGGTCAGGGAGGTCACCTGGCGTCTATTCACAACACAGACGAGAACGGGCACGTGATGTGTTTGAGCGTGAGCACCCCCAAAAAATCCCCGACATCTAATGACTATTTCTGGATTGGTGGAAGGAGCTCAGCCCCGGTAAGCAGCAAGGGTTCAGCTGAAATACTAACAGTGGTGACATGTAACTAAGAATTGTTACTCAAGTACTGTACTTAAGTACAAGGAGTTGTACTTTATTTGAGTATTTCCATGTAATGTAACTTTATTCTTCTGCTCTGCAACAACATCTCAAAGGAAAATGTATTGTACTTTGTACAATTTATCAGGGCCGCCCACTCCAGCACCGCCACCGCCCACTTTGGGCTCCGATACGAACACAGGCGATGTCAGAGAAGCTCCTGAGCCCAGCTGTTCAAAAACATTTAATCTGGGTCAGAATGATGTCATGTTTGGCTGTCCAGGATCAGCTGATCTGGTTTTTCAAAGCAACACTGGATCAATCACACTGATCCAGATACAAACTTCTAAAGATCACCAAATCCGGATAACCAGAGGTCTCACTTATAAACACTGCGTACGCACAAAACGATACCGGAAACAGTCGGACGCCACTTCACCCGCAAATGTGGTTATTAATAAAAACAGACTTGATGGGAGAAACTTTGAGCAATGCTTACCCACATTTTTGGGACGGGAAATTGGTGACGCAGATGGTGAGGTGGAGCCTGATTGTTGAAATTGGGTGTGGTTACATGATGGCTTCTGATTCAGAATGAAATAAATCTGAATGAAATCATTCTGAATTAAAGTCTTTCCAGGTAGTTTACATGAGAAATATTCATTCTGAATGAGGGTTTACACAGAGATCAGTTTAATCGCCTTTATTCGGGTCTGCACAAGGTTTGGGGCAGGGAAGGTTTCTGATTGGATAGGGGGCGGGACGGATGTTACGCGTTTACGTTTACTGGAAGAAAACACTGTAGTCCTCGCTCCGGATAACAAGATGCTTGACGACGCCGTTCTTAGTGCCTTTTTCGGGCTTGTTTTGCTTATATTCTTGAAGCAGCAGTACGACAACAACCTTGTTCTGCTAATGCTTCGTCTGTTGAGGAGGAGAAGGGAGGGAGAAGGTCGAAGAAGGGAGATAGAAGACCGTGCTGTGGCGAATGGAAACCGGTGAGTGCAACTAGTCCGTCTGCTCTATCTCAGCCTGTTGCTATGAGCGCTATATACGTCATGGCGCCAGAAGCGCAAGGAAACGAGCATGTGCAGAAAGACAGGAATGAACTTAAAGAGGAATGAGTGTATACAAGTGTGAGAAATTCTTTCATTCGGAATTAGAAACGGAATATTCCAGCTCCTTACATCCGATTGAATTTTCAATCACATTGGCCATTTTCATTCTGAATTAGGTGTTTACAAGATCACTTTTAATAGGAATGAACTTTCATTCTGAATGAAAAGGGAATTAAACTGACCATGTAAACACACTCAGTGTCAAACATTTTTTGGTGCACGCCATTTTTGGCTCTTGTCTGTACGTCCATTTTTAGTGCGGCTCCTACACAGTGTTTTATAAATGAGACCCCAGAGCTCTAAATGGGACGACATATCACAACAAAGGCAGTCTGCAAACATACCACAGGTGGCGCCAAAGAGGACAAAACAGAATGTGTGTAAATACGTATAATTTTACAGTCAGTGAGTGAATCAATACACTGGACCCCTTTAAGAGTGAAACATTGAGCTCTGCGGGCACTGCTGCACATCTGGAGATTAAACAGGAAGTGAAAACATGTTCAGCAGGAAAGTGACACATTAATGCCACTGATATTCATCAAAAACATCACAAGAGGAAAACATTTTTATTTTTTATCCTGCTGATACTCACTTTACCTTCAGTCAGGTTCTGAATGCAGGAGCAAAGTGTTGTATTTGTACTTTTACTGCAGTAAAGAATCTGAATACTTTCTCCACCCCTGAATACTCGACTACTCTTCTACTACTCTATTCTCTGACATCTGACTGTTTCCTTTTCTTCAGCTGTCTGGCTATGGATGGACCGACAAATCTGCGTTTGGCTTCACTAAATGGCACCCTGGGCAGCCGGTGAATAGAGCCAGTCACACCTGCGTGGCGATGAACTACAAACGTAAGTAAAGTCATGAAGAAGAATGATTCATTGGTTTTTAGATTTATAGTTCAGAGGTGATGAGTCAACAACAAAGACGCTGCCAAACCACCACCAGCTTCCATTTTTCACAACTTATAGATGTGAGACTTTGTGCGATCAATAGATCCATTTCTCTTTTAAAACTCGGACTCAGTGAGTTCTGCTCCTTCTCCGAGATAATAGCCTCGCTCCAGATGAACTGCTCCTCGCCTGCAAAGTAGACGAGAGCAGGCAGCTGCAGCAGGAGGCGGAGACAAAAAGCCGGGGTGAAGTCAAACCGTTTCCTGACAGTTCCCAGCAGCCTTCAGTCAGTACAGGAAGTCACAGAAACACTCACTTCCTGTCTGATATGATGTTGATTTATTAAAACACAGTCAGACTCATATATCAGTTTGTTCTCAGTCTCCAGCTGTTTTAATTATGATGGATTAAGTTATTAAAATGTTTTACAGGTGATCTGTAGTTTATGTTCATGGTTCATGGTTTGACCTGTCGCCATGGCAACAGAGGCTAAATACACTCTGTCTGACTGTAAGCTTCATATTTTATACAAGACAACAGCTTTCATTAAACATCAGTCGGATACAGTCAGGGCTTCACATCTGTACACGTTAGTTTGAGAATAAGCAGCAGTCTGTGATGATGTTAAACACTTCAATAATTCAAACTGACTTGAACTCATTCATGAAAACAATTTCAGAGACACGGACTGAGGTCATAAAAAGTCTTTTAAATGAATCCTGTGAAAAATGAGAGCAAAACAAAAGTGTTGCTTTGAGTTCAGGTTCAGTGTAAATATATATTTACAATTTACAGAATTATGTGACTTGTATATGGACATTGTTTGTTGTTGTTTGTTGTCCTTGTCTTTAGCTGTTTGTTTCTGTCTCCTGTAAATCGTTGTGTGTGTGTTCACGTGTTGGGTCCACGCAGCAGGTCATGAAACATGAGTCAAACACTGATGATGTCACTGAATATGTGTGTTCCAGACTGGGGCGACTGGACGAACATCGACTGCAACAGCAAGAAGAACTTTGTGTGTGTCAGATAAATGTGATCGTCATCATGAAGTCCTGAGCTGCAGTTTGATGTTAATCAATAATCAATACACAAACTGTCTGAACTTAATAAATGATCAATGAACATGTTCCTGCTTCTGTGTCAGCTGTTTGTTCATCAGTGTGAAACAGAAGACGTTTCACTCTGATGCTTTAAATGTTCATTATTAGCTTCATCTGACTTTTCATCACAGTAGAAGAAAATAACATTTGTTTTCATGACTGCAGGTGTAAAACACGTCCCGCAGGTTTCTGAGAGAGAGATTTGACTTTTTATCTTCTCTGACTTTTTCTGTTAAAAACATCAAACAGTCAGAATCACAGATTTAATGTTTCTGTTCGTTTAATTTTTTAAGTCTTTTTTAGATTCATTAATAAGTTTTATAAACGTATGTGCCAGTGACAGAAATAAAATATTCAGTTCTGTTACTTGAGTAAAAGTATTAAAGTATTAGCATCAAATATTGTCACATAATTAAAAGGTAAAAGTCTCATTCTGCAAATCAACTTTCAGTGTTATATAATTTTGTCACCTCCTCATTAGAACACACATCACAGGACAACCACGGACTTTCACCCAGGAGGCCGCTGTTCACTTCCTGTAAGATTGTAAACCCTGTTCCTTATTCCTGAACCCAACCACATGTGTGTGTGTTGGCTAAACGTAACCACGTGTGTGTGTGTCGGCTAAACGTAACCATGTGTGTGTGTTGGCTAAACGTAACCATGTGTGCGTGTTGGCTAAACGTAACCATGTGTGCGTGTCGGCTAAACGTAACCACGTGTGCGTGTCGGCTAAACGTAACCACGTGTGCGTGTCGGCTAAACGTAACCACGTGTGCGTGTCGGCTAAACGTAACCACGTGTGTGTTGGCTAAACGTAACCATGTGTGTGTGTGTTGGCTAAACGTAACCATGTGTGTGTGTCGGCTAAACGTAACCACGTGTGTGTGTCGGCTAAACGTAACCATGTGTGTGTGTCGGCTAAACGTAACCACGTGTGTGTGTTGGCTAAACGTAACCATGTGTGTGTGTGTTGAAGAAAAGTTGGTAGTGTTGAACTGATGTAGTGCTTTTATTTTGAAAGAGACTGTATCAAACTGTACATTTCCTGTGAAAACAGAAGTGTATTTTGAAAACAGACAATGCATGTAACAGGCTGAAGTTGACACGGCGTCCCAGAACGTGAACAACCAACACACCCAGGGTACCTTGGACGTCATATGTGGACGTGGAAAGTCCATGACCAAACGTGGACATGTGACGAGGTCACAGTGAGGATGATGATGGCAAGATTAAGTCATTTTCCTTATTTAAATAAATGAAGCACTACAATGAAAGTACCCGGCTCAGCTGGTGGAAGTCTCTCGTGCGCCTGCTCTATGGACCCAGTGAGGTGTAAGCGGCGCTGATCATCCAGGTAATTTCATTCTGAGGAACCTTTATGTGCCACTGAGTGACTTTCAGAGGAATGAACAGGTGGCTGCCTCCAACGCTCTATCCAGGTCTCTTAAGACATCCATGATTTGAACATGTGGATTTGTGCTTTATATCATTTTGGTCACAGCTTCTGCAGCCGCTGACCTCTGACCTCAGGGTCTCATGTCTCCACCACAGAGTGAATCTGGCTTCACACAGCTTCTGATTTCACTCTCTATGTCTCCGTCTAGTGGCTTCTAGTGGTACTACACAAGCTCTAATAAAACCTCTCTAAATTCATTCTGCTTCATTTTACAATGGCCAGTCTGAGCACAGGTGACGTTCACATGCTGTGATGTGGTTTGCTGGAGGTTTTGGGGGGCTGCAGCTGCACAACTCCAGAGTGAGATTCACTTTAAAAGTAAAAAGTTTTTTTAAGCGAAGATAAAATCTTTCATTTACTCAGTTTCATTTCTTCATTTAATCTGACCCTGTAGCGTCTGTACTGATGCTGACACCTCTGCAATAAAACCTCCAAGTGTTTCCTTTAATTTGAGAAATACTCGTTTAATTTTAGGCGTGTCATTTTGCAGAGGCCTGAGCTGGAGGTCGAGTGATGAAACTCAGCAGGTCAGTTTTAATGTTAAAGATAAGTCATAATTATACATGTTAAATCAATGCAGTGCAGTAAAAGTACAATATTTCTCTCTGAGATGTTTTGGAGTAAAAGTTTAAAGAGGCTGAAAATGGAAATACTCAGATAAAGTACAAGTACCTCAAAACTGTAGTAGTAGTTGAGTAAATGTACTTAGTTACATTCCACCACTGCGAGGGACCGATGAATGAAGCTATCAGATGTAATGTGACATACAATATTTCTTTCAAATTCAAAGGACAAGCACCTCACAGTTTGTTTTCACGTCGTCATGTGACCGCTTGATCATTTTCTGTTTGATTATGAGAATAATATTCTGACAAAAAGACGTTCAGCAAAGACACATCTGACATCTGGGCGGAGTTCTGATTTATAACTGAAAAAGAAGCTGCTGTAACAGGAAACATAATCTTCTTCATACAGAGTTATGAAATCTGATCATCTGTGAACTTTAAGACACAAAAACAAATCAAATCAATTCCAACACAAAGAATCATGTCAGCGACCATACGATGAGAACGGGCGCCATGACACCGACCTTTTTCAAAGTCTGATATCGTGACAACTTTAAAGAGGGCAGAGATCTCAGCTGGTCTCAGGACCCGGTATTTTCAGCCTGTTCTCAGTCTGAAATCGTCAAATACGGATGCCAAAAGCCATCTGTCGTAGCAGTACGATACACTGAAGACAGGTGGCTTCATTTTGTAGCGCAGCTGGATGGAACCTTATGTGGCGGTATGATATGCCAGTAAGGACGTGATATCAGGAGCTGGAGAGGTGGCAGGTGGGAGTTGTGGTAGAAGGTGAACTTGGTGAACAGCGCTGACAGAATGGTGATATTTAACAAGCTGGGAATGAGAATGCGTTGGTGTTGTGTCTATACTGGTTTACTGAGACTCTTTAATGGGACAAAGTGATGGTTGATGTGATGAAGACGTCCTGTGATAAAAACAGATAAACTGTGTTCTTTTGTTCTGGTTCACGTCCACGAGGCTGAGACACAAACTTGAGACACGGTTCAGCAGTAACGCTCCTGAACTCTGTCAGGTTGTGTTGAAGAAACACTTGAATTCTTCAAACCAGGTGGTGACGGATGAAACTGTATCTATCAGCTGATACAAACATACTAGGATTATTGTTCACATTTCTCTGAGTTTCTGAAACTCTGCAGCAGATGAGGAGGTGATCAGACAGATGATCAGCACAGAGGTGGACTGAAGGTTAATGTGGTCTCTACCGGCCGTTGCAGGAATCATCCTTGACATTGGAACAGTCCTTTGGCGGGTCGATAACGTGGCGTCCTTCAAATTCGTCCGTTTAAGGATCCTTCCTTGACTTTGGGCTGATAAAGAAGGAAACAGGTGTGAAGGTGGGAGGGGACGTCAGGTGTCCAGGAATGAGAGTCTGAATACATCTGGTGGACGACTGGAGGAAAGCAGGTCTGTGGAGTGAGAGGACAGGACATGGAGACACTTCTCATACTCCAGGGAGGATCCTTAAAAGCTGAATTTCGAGGAGTCTTTGTCATCAGATCCTGTAAACATGAAGAAGCTTCAACATGAAACAAACTGTTCAGACTTTTTTATACACACAATAATTCAGATGTGTGGAGTTCCTCAGGGTTAATTCCTCGGGCCTCTTTTATTGAACTTTCAAATGTCTCTGTGTCATCGGGCTCCTGAATCACTCTGCTGGGGTTCGTTTCACAATCATGACCTGCTTACTGTGCGTTATCCTGTAACTTCCTCACACTGTGTGCAGGTGATGTTGAGCAACAGATGATCAGAGGAGATTAACACGTTCACGCTGCTGAACTTAACAGTAAACACGTCCATATTTGGTAGAAATGTTTCCATCTTTCAGCTCGACTGTTGGGAAACATCCTGAGAGGAAAGTGACAGTCATCACTGAGCATCGATGACACAGCTGATTCACTTTATTTCTACACTTCAGACACCGAACAGCAGAATTATTACAACTTATTATGACAGCTCTGTCTTTGTGTGGGGTTCAGGTGTCTTTATATTTTATTCAAACTAAAGAAAACAACTTTAAACTCATCACTGTTGATGTGTAATCCAGCAGGGACACGACATCCTCGCCCAAATATTCTGTCCGATGGTTCAGACATTTCAGCTTTGTAAAGATTTGGATTTAACACAGCTTCACATTCAGTGGAAAAGTTTAAACATTTTAAAGGACTCTTTACATCCTGCAAACCCTTGAGTCAGTCTTCTCCCTTCAGATACAAGACTACACAGAGGGGATGCACCATACTGGATTGTTTGCCAATATGTGACAACTCATTTGGCCGACAACCGATACTGATATCGATAAATCCTCTCTTTTCCCACCTGTCAGTGATCATCATCAAGTCTCTTCTGTGGATAATTTCACATCATATTATACACACAGACTCTGATGGTGACGGCCCGCCAGCAGATGTTCAGTGTCTGTGATATTCATTCATTGTGCTGAATAAGAAAAAAACATGTTGGCTGATTCATTTTAAAGCCGATATCGGCTGATACAGATATTATATTATCGTGCATCCTTTCTGCGTTGCATTAAGACGAGAACAGTATCACTAATCCTGAGTCAGTCCACCTCCTGAACACTTCATCCATCCATTTTCATCCTCTTATCCAGGGCCGAGACTCAGGGGCAGCAGGCTGACTGAAGCACCCCAGACGTTCCTCTCCTCAGCTCCTTCCTCCAGCTCCTCCTGGAGGACCCCGAGGCGTTCCCAGACCAGATCAGATCTATAATCCCTCCAGTGTGTTCTGGGTCTGCCCCGGGGCATCACTGTAGACCCAGACACCGGATCCATCTCATGCTCCATTCTACCCTCACTGTGAACAAGACCCCATCTGAAGATACTTACAAGCTGTCAGTGTCCGACAGTCCACCACCAACATTTACATCACGTCTCGTCAACAAAAATCAAACATAGATTTCATCTTAGTTTTTATTATCAAGATCTATTTTTAGCTCGTCATCGTTGTGGAAAAAAGTTCGTTGACTGAAAATTTCTGTCGTAGTTTTTCATATTTTTTGCGCGAAATTAACGCTGGTAAATACCTCTCTGTGAAATTAGAAGCTTTTGTGTGTCTTTAAAAAGACAGTTGCTGACAAGTGGCTAAATGAGACGACAGAACGTTGTCACGCCGATGTTTTGTTTTGTATTTGTAGACATTTTTGCATTGGGGGTCATTTTAAAACTTAAAATACACTTTTACTTACTCACTTTTACTTCAATAACATTTTGGATGCAGGACTTTTACTGTGAACAGAGTGTGTTCACTGTGTGGTATTAGTATTTTAAATAAAGGAACAGAAGACTTCATCCGAGGGTCATAAGGACAGAGGGGTGTCGTATGTTGTAAAGCCCTGTGAGGCAAACTGTGATTTGTGATATTGGGCTTCATAAATAAAACTGAACTGATTTATTGATTCATCTCTGAAGAAAAGTGACACTGACAGAATTAAGAGTCAACGTTTCCTCACAGCTCTGTCGTTATGTAACTACCTGACAGAAGAGATAAACCGATAAACACTGGTGTCATTTTAATCAACAGACTCTGTGTCCATATTTAGTCAAACGCTGGAGACTCAGAAATGTGCCATCTCACCGTCTGCTGGAGGAAACCTGGGGGTATAAGTAGTGGTGAGTTGGTAGAAGCTGTAGTCAACCGCTGAGGACTCTGCTGACACACAAACCACAGGTAGGCCTGTTTCCTCCTCCTCCTCCTCCTCCTCTTCTTCATCTTCTGTCTGTTAAACTGATGACTGACAAACACCAAACCTCTTTAGGTTTCATGTGTGGGACCATTAACAACATTAGCATTAAAAGATTTTAGAACATGACACACACAAAAAAATTATACTATTAGATATCTGCAATAAGCATCACCATCATCATGATCATGACAGTGAGTTTAGAGAGCTTAGAGCTCGGGTTATTTGTGTAACCACCACCAACAATAACAGGAAAAAAAAACAGTGAGAGATGAAGTTTGAGACGACTGTCAGTCCGTAAATAATGTGCTAAATATTTTAATATTCTACAGGAACACTTTAAAATAAATTTAAAAACCTCGTCAGAATATTAATTTTAACACATTTAACCTTCTAATGAACAAAGCTGAAAGTAAAGACGTAAAGAAGTTTCTGTAGAATTTAACACAGATTCAATTACAGGTTCATCATGTGATCATTTTATCTAGGGTTGTAACGATATACTGGTTTCAAGATCAGTGTTGTAGTGGAGGGTATACGCAGGTATACGGGGTATAGCCACTTCTTTTTCTGGCCATTCACCTGTCAGCCAAAAAGCCATTAGACTATATAGGAGAGTATGTCCACTATCTTCATCATCCACCTCATCAGCTACCACTACACCACTGTTCAAGATTAACTTGTAATATAAAAATTGACATTAATCATACCGTGTACATTTACTTACCTACAGTATTGAAATAAATAAACAACCGGACGATGAATCTCACCATTAGTTAAATTGTGGTTTCACTTTTGTTTAATTTTAAAAAGAGCCCTTTTTCATTCCTTTATGGGTCGTAGTAACGAATAATAATAATAATTATTGTGCAATACTGCCATGTTTTCTGTGGCAGTTATCAGACCTTAAAAACCTCATACTGTTGTCACCCAAATTAATCTCACTTGAGGGACTAGTTTTACGCCCGAAGGCTTAAATCATAGGATGTGATTGTTTTTAATTCATTTACATAATTTATGTTTTTGAGGCACTGAGTTTGTACTCAGATAGTTTTATAATGACAAAAATAAATAATAATAAATCACTAAATCTAAGCAAAACAAAAAATATGCTGTTTGGAAAAAATAAACCTGATTTCAATGTACAGTAGAACTGACAATAGATAATATAAAAATAGAACAAGTTTATGAAATAAAATTTCTAGGTGTGATCCTGGACCACAAAATAGCTGGAAATCTCATGTAAGCCACACATGATCAAAACTGGCAAAGTGCACTGCAATACTGGGAAAAACAAGACACATTCTGGATCACAAATCATTACACACCCTATACTGTTCACTGTTTTTATCACGTGTCATACTGTGTGGAGGTCTGGGGAAACATCTATAAAAGCACTATATATACACACACACATACATATATATATATATATATATATATATATACATATTTACTTGTTCCTACTCCTTTTTTGAACGTGTATGAATACTTTATTTTTTTTTCTTCATTTGTACATGTATGGCATTTCTATCTTTTTTTAGTTTTTATACATGTTTGAAAATACAAATAAAGATAAACATTAACAGAAAAAAACATAAGTTTTAAAGGATTTATATGTATAAATAAATATGATTCATAAAATATTTTGAACTGCTTTTTAACTTCTAAACTCTCCTCACTGCGACTGCTGTCAGATTAAAAAATATATAAATTTTATCCTCCCTCTGAACATCCATCATGTCTGATATTCAAGAACAAACTCAGTCAGTGGCAGGTCGGTCTGTTACAAACTTTAATAGTCCACACTTTGATTTTTGAAAATAGATTTTCCTGAGTAAAAATCAAAAAAACCCCAAAATTAGATTTTGTCTCAGTTCTTAAGAATGAGATATATTTATTAATGTGACAGCAGTCGCAGTGAGAAGACATTTAATCTCATCTTTAAACCATCGTTCTTATTTAGTTTGGATTTCGAGGGCCGACAGAGTCGAGCTGTTCTGGTTCAGACTCACCTGGTAGAAATATTACTGAAAGAATTTATCATCAAACACAAATCTGAGCAGAACCTGAGCAGCATTCACACCTGTTTGGAAACCAGGAAGTGAGACAGGAAGTCCCTGTGATGTAGCTGACTCCCTTATACCTGATTAAATTATGTATTTATAGAAATCTGACAGAGCTGACAAAAATCTGGGACACACCTTTAAAGGGCCGACATTTTCACAAGACATATTTAAAATAAAGATGATTCTAGCAGGACACTGTGACACGGATGTTCTCAGTACGTGCTGTTAGTTTGAGATTTTAGTTTGAAATTGAGTTCTCGTCTGGGCCGACGTGTTTTAATACAGGGCGAGTTTAGAAGTTAAAAAGCAGATCAAAATATTTTACAAATCATATTTATTTCATACATACAAATATAAAAATAATGTTCCAGCCCAGAAACAAAATTAGTGTGTAGATATGTTTTAATTTGAAGGCTGTTTTGGTGGGACATGATTTTGAAACACATATCAGTTTCAACTCTACAAAGACAAATATTAAAGGTAAATGTAGGTTTAATAAATTGATCAAATGTGACATGAATTGATATTTTTGATTTTCTGTTAGATTTATTTTCCACTGTATTATTATTATTTTTTTTACCTATTTAGTTATTATGACCTTTATTTGTTATTTGTTGTTACGAGTGACATAAACAATCCTTGACAGCTGTAGAACCTTTTCATATCAATAAGCAGAGAGCTCCACAAGTTTTAGTCCAACAACCTGCCATCATTTGATTTACTACAGAAACATCAAATCCTGTAACAACAACCCTCCTCAGACCTTCATGTCCTCACACAAGCGGTCCCATCATGAACCTAATGAAGGTTATGAACATACAACAGTTTATATATTGCAGGAAAAGTTATGGACATGTAACACTTTTTACATCTTATCAGAAGTTATGAACGTAAGAGACAAAAAACAACCACAGAGACTCAAAACAACCACAAAGAGACGCAAAACAACCACAAAGAGACACTAAACAGCCACAAAGATGCTAAAAACGACCACAAAGACACACAACAAGCACAGAGACAAAACAACCACAAAGAGAGAAAACAACCACAAAGAGACTTAAAACAACCACAAAGAGACACAAAACAACTACAAAGACTCAAAACAACCACAAAGAGACTCTAAACAACCACATAGACTCTAAACAACCACAAAGCGACGGAAAGACGACGCACACATCATGTTTCTTTGTGGTGGTTTTGTGTTTCTTTGGGTCCAGGTGTCTCTATGTAGGAGAGGTGGGACACCTGTTGTCTCACAGGGCGTCCATGTTTAGGACATGATTCCATGTTATTCTCTCTGTGTTGCAGTCATGGCGTTCCCTCGGCTCTCTGCCTCCATGCTGTTGGCTTCTTTGATTCTTCTTCTCTACTGGACGGCTGCATCAGCTCGTTCACATGACCCCACCTCCTCCAACCTGTCACCCCTCTACAGGGTGAAGAGAGACATGCCTTTCAACACCAAAGAGAGAGTGGCAGCATCTTTTACAGTGCTGAAGGACTCCCTGTCTGTGGTGAAAGAAGTGATTGGAAAGAGTACCACCAGTACGGTGTCAGGGGTGATTAAGAGTCTTGTCAACATCGCCAGCTTGGCGCCCGGCATCGCAGGTCTGGTCTCCTCTTTTCTCAACTTGGCCTTGTCCTTCGTCCCTCAAGAAAACCCTCTGAAGGCGCTCAAGGCAGGGTTTGCTGAAGTGAACAGGAAGCTGGACTCACTCTCCATCTGGATCTCCAACCTGGCGACAGATGTGGAATGGTACAACTACGCCAGCGTCTACTCTCAAGACGAGGTCCGCATCCTCAACGCCTGGAAGAAGTTCGGTGAGTTCCGTGAGAACAGTGAGCTGGTACAAAGTGAAGATGATAAACTCAGACTGGCAGAGGTATTCACCAACTACTACGAGAACACGGCAACCGAGGCCAGCGTGGCCAACCTTTACCATTACGTGACGGTCAGCAACATGTCACTCAGTAGAAACCTCAATGACCTGCTGAGGAAGAAGTTCAAATGTAGCATTCGTGAGATTGGCAATTATAACCTGTACTTCAGCACTCTGCTGTGGAGGGGGATGGTGCTCAACCAGCTGTACTGGGACCTGATCGGTCTCAGTCAAACAGGCATAACAGATCGATACACCGAGATGTTGAAGAACGTCTCTAGTACTCAGGTATCAGTCGTGGAGTTCTGCCTCAACAACTATGAGCAGTACGTGAAGAATGATGTCGAGGAGATCAGCAAAGCCCTCAGTCCTGACGACAAAGAAGCCATCGCTGAAAAGGTGAAAAAAGCTCTGGATGAGAAGTTCTACTGGTACGACTGGGTGGTACTGGTGTACAACTCGAACGACGACAGCTACCACAGATTTTATAGCAAGATGATAAAAGTCTCTGTGAATCCAATCACTGTTGCTGTGGGCTACACTCAGAAAGCAGACGAGATATATAAAGCACATGTAAAAACTGTGCTGAACCAATGCACCTCATATAGAATATACCCGACTGGTCCATTTGCGGCCCCAAACCTGCCTCCGTGTAACCACATCATACAGAAAATGAAAGAATGTAATCAACTCGTGGCTGGCGCTCCTATCAGAGACTACGTTAAGGAGATGGAATCTGGTGCAGGTGATTTTGTTCAAGTCCCGGAAAAACTGATGGAAATCCATTGTAAAGGGAGCGGGTTTACGGACAGGATGTCTGTTTACTACTCCCGAACCATCGATCCATGTGTGTCTGACACATGTAACACAGGAGAGTGCAAGAGGCTGCTGGACTCCAACGAACATCTGTGTGAGTGTCCTGATGGTTACTATGGAGATAGCTGTGAAAAGGAGCTGAACCCCAACAAGGTCCCAGCGATCGATAAAGGCCAAACTGTGCCCGACTTCACCAGCATCAACGCCAAGCTGAGAGCGATGGAGGCCAAACTGGACGACATCCTCAATAAGATGTGTCCTGCTCAGTAACAACTGAAAACAATCTTAACTCGTCGCACGCAGAGCGTCAGAAGGTGTCGTGCTCCTTCGCTTTTTTCAGCTTCACCATAAAATCATTTCCACTACACTCATTCTCGGGAATCAGGAAATGTTTGTAAATAAAAATAAAATCATGATGTTGACAGGAAGTATTCAGACGCTGAGCTGTGATCAGAGAACACCAACCAAAACACCAACCACCAGTCTTATGAGACAGACTGACGGACGCTGACCAAGAACCTGACGGACACTGTGACCTTGGACAAACTTCCAGAAGGACAACCGTCACCGCAACAGTCCACCGATGATGACATGAGTGTCCTCAGAGAGGGACACATGAAGACCCCTGACAGACTGAGAGACAGCACTGTCAACACCATCAACACCGTCAACACTGTCAACACCATCAACACCGTCAACACCATCAACACCGTCAACACTGTCAACACCATCAATACCGTCAACAACGTCAACACTGTGTCCTGACACCTTAACACCATCCCAACACCATCCCAACACCATCTTAACACCATCTCAACACCATCCCAACACCATCTTAACACCATCTTAACACCATCTCAACACCATCTTAACACATCTTAACACCATCTCAATACCATCTCAACACCATCTTAACACCATCTCAACACCATCTTAACACATCTCAACACCATCTTAACACCATCTCAACACCATCTCAACACCATCCCAACACCATCTTAACACATCTTAACACCATCTCAACACCATCTTAACACATCTTAACACCATCTTAACACCATCTCAACACCATCTTAACACATCTTAACACCATCTCAATACCATCTCAACACCATCTTAACACCATCTCAACACCATCTTAACACATCTCAACACCATCCCAACACCATCTTAACACATCTTAACACCATCTCAACACCATCTTAACACATCTTAACACCATCTCAATACCATCTCAACACCATCTTAACACCATCTCAACACCATCTTAACACATCTCAACACCATCTTAACACCATCTCAACACCATCTTAACACATCTTAACACCATCCCAACACCATCTTAACACATCTTAACACCATCTCAACACCATCTCAACACCATCTCAACACCATCTTAACACATCTCAACACCATCCCAACACCATCTTAACACATCTTAACACCATCTCAACACCATCTTAACACATCTTAACACCATCTCAATACCATCTCAACACCATCTTAACACCATCTCAACACCATCTTAACACATCTCAACACCATCTTAACACCATCTCAACACCATCTTAACACATCTTAACACCATCCCAACACCATCTTAACACATCTTAACACCATCTCAACACCATCTCAACACCATCCCAACACCATCTTAACACATCTCAACACCATCCCAACACCATCTCAACACCATCTTAACACCATCCCAACACCATCATAACACCATCCCAACACCATCCCAACACTGACAGGACACTGTCAGGACACCGTCAGGACACCATCAGGACACTGACAGGACACCGTCAGGACACCGTCAGGACACCGACAGGACACCGTCAGGACACCGTCAGGACACCGACAGGACACCGTCAGGACACCATCAGGACACTGACAGGACACCGTCAGGACACCATCAGGACACTGACAGGACACCGTCAGGACACCGTCAGGACACCGTCAGGACACCGTCAGGACACCGTCAGGACACCGTCAGGACACCGTCAGGACACCGTCAGGACACCGTCAGGACACCGTCAGGACACCGTCAGGACACCGTCAGGACACCGTCAGGACACCGTCAGGACACCGTCAGGACACCGTCAGGACACCGTCAGGACACCGTCAGGACACCGTCAGGACACCGTCAGGACACCGTCAGGACACCGTCAGGACACCATCAGGACACCGACAGGACACCGTCAGGACACTGACAGGACACCGTCAGGACACCGTCAGGACACCGTCAGGACACCATCAGGACACTGACAGGACACCGTCAGGACACCGTCAGGACACCGACAGGACACCGTCAGGACACCGTCAGGACACTGACAGGACACTGACAGGACACCGTCAGGACACCGTCAGGACACCATCCCAACACTGACAAGACACCGTCAGGACACCATCAGGACACTGACAGGACACCGTCAGGACACTGACAGGACACCGTCAGGACACCGTCAGGACACCGTCAGGACACCGTCAGGACATCGTCAGGACACCGTCAGGACACCATCAGGACATCGTCAGGACACCATCAGGACACCGTCAGGACACCGTCAGGACACCATCAGGACATCGTCAGGACACCATCAGGACACTGACAGGACACCGTCAGGACACTGACAGGACACCGTCAGGACATCGTCAGGACACCGTCAGGACACCATCAGGACATCGTCAGGACACCGTCAGGACACCATCAGGACATCGTCAGGACACCGTCAGGACACCATCAGGACTCAGAGTCTCAGTTTCTATGAAATTCAGCAGGTTCAGATCAGAATATTAAAAACAAAGCTGATTTCAGTTTTAAATATTTAAACATCAACTAAGTTGTAATTTCATTCATTGGAAACTTGAAGATCCTGAAAATGATTAAAGATGTGACTTAATAAAGTTATTTAAGTGGATATAAAACTGTTAAATGAGCTTCAGCTTTTAGCTTTAAATAAAATATTATGATCATAAATGAATCTGTTTAATATTCATCATTATGACACACTGTATCACAACTCATATGACTTGTTATTATATCTTATTATTATGTATATATATATTCACTGTCCTTCAGCTGAAGCAGCTCAGATGTTAAGTCTGTCACAGTCACATGTTCTTTGGTTTGAGACTCTGTTAATTTTCTGCTTCAGTCGAACACGTTTGTTTCTCTTTGACTTGATTTTCAGAAGCTGAAGTTTCAGATTCGTCAGTAAAAATTCTTCTTTCTTCAGTATTTCAGTTTTCTGTTACTTCACACTTCCAGCACACCTCATAGGGAAATATCGTACTTTTTACTGCAACACATTTAGTCTATAACTTTAGAGATTCAGATCATTAAAACTAAATACAGTCAGGTCCATAATTATTTGGACAATGATACAGTTGTCGTCATTTTGGCTCTGTACACCACCACAATGGGTTTTAAATGAAACAATGAATACCTGCTTAAAGTGCAGACTCTCAGCTTTCATTTAAGGCTTTTTTCGAAAATGTAGTATGAACCGTGTAGGAATTACAACCATTTCTTCACACAGTCCCCCGACTTTAAGGGCTCATAAGTATTTGGACAAACTAACATAATCATCAATTAAACAGTCAGTTTTAATACTTGGTTGCAAATCCTTTACAGTCAATGACTGCCTGAAGTGTTGGACACATAGGCATCATCAGATGCTGGGTTTCTTCCCTGGTGATGCTCTGCCAGCCCTTTACTGCAGCCGTCTGCACTTCCTGCTTGTGTTTTGGGTGTTTTGCCCTCAGTTTTGGCTTCAGCAAGAGAAACGCATGCTCAGTTGGATTCAGGTCAGATGATATGACTTGGCCATTGCAGAACATTCCACTTCTTTGCCTTAAAAATGTCTTTGGTTGCTTTTGCAATATGCTTCAGGTCATTGTCCAACTGCACTGTGAAGCATCGTCCAATGAGTTTTGAAGCATTTGGTTGAATCTGAGCAGATAATGGTGCCCCAAACACTTCAGCTTTCATCCTGCTGCTCTTGTCAGCAGTCACATCATCAATAAATACAAGAGAACCAGTTCCACTGGCAGCCATACATGGCCATGACATAACAGTACCTCCACCATGCTTCACTGATGAGGTGGTGTGCTTTGGATCATGAGCAGTTCCTTCCCTTCTTCCTTCTCTTGTCTTCCCATCATTCTGGTAGTTGATCTTTGTTTTATCTGTCCATAGTATGCTGTTCCACAACTGTACAGGCTTTTTAGATGGTTTTTGACTAACTCTAATCTGGCCTTCCATTTTTAAGGCTAACCAATGGTTTGCATCTTGTGATAAACCCTCTGTATTTATTCTAGTGAAGTCTTGTCTTGCTGACAAGAGCAGCAGGATGAAAGCTGAAGTGTTTGGGGCACCATTATCTGCTCAGATTCAACCAAATGCTTCAAAACTCATTGGACGATGCTTCACAGTGCAGTTGGACAATGACCTGAAGCATATTGCAAAAGCAACCAAAGACATTTTTAAGGCAAAGAAGTGGAATGTTCTGCAATGGCCAAGTCATATCATCTGACCTGAATCCAACTGAGCATGCGTTTCTCTTGCTGAAGCCAAAACTGAGGGCAAAACACCCAAAACACAAGCAGGAAGTGCAGACGGCTGCAGTAAAGGGCTGGCAGAGCATCACCAGGGAAGAAACCCAGCATCTGATGATGCCTATGTGTCCAACACTTCAGGCAGTCATTGACTGTAAAGGATTTGCAACCAAGTATTAAAACTGACTGTTTAATTGATGATTATGTTAGTTTGTCCAAATACTTATGAGCCCTTAAAGTCGGGGGACTGTGTGAAGAAATGGTTGTAATTCCTACACGGTTCATACTACATTTTCGAAAAAAGCCTTAAATGAAAGCTGAGAGTCTGCACTTTAAGCAGGTATTCATTGTTTCATTTAAAACCCATTGTGGTGGTGTACAGAGCCAAAATGACGACAACTGTATCATTGTCCAAATAATTATGGACCTAACTGTATAATCAATGATCACTGATGATGTATTATAGATTAAACCTCCCAGCAGTTTATGAAGTCACTAAAATAAGATCCTCTTTTACTAGCTGTGCTCATTAACACATCAATAATATAACTCTGAGTCCAAAGAAGTCTGGACGCTGTAAAACATAAAGAAAAACAGAATGTAATGATTTGTAAATCTTTTTTGACCCAGTGATAAAAGTTATTATATTCAGTTATAAGAAATCAACTTATTAACTAGCTAACATGCTAGCTAACTAACTCTGTCTGCTTCCT